ATAATAATAATAATAATAATAATAATAATCTCATGATGATGCTCAGGAGTCACCTGCCCATGAAAGCCACCAGTGATGCTAAGGAATTTCTCCTATCCCAAACCTCAGCGAGTCCCCAACCAAGAAAAGGTTGCTGACTTCATACCAGATAGATCCATCACAACCACCACCACCATAATTAACACACACAAGTAATGTTTAATTAGAGAAACAGAAAACAAAATGAATAAAGATGAGCTTGTGCAATGGTAGTGTAGTATGGGTAAAACCAGCTGGGAGCCATCCACTCTGCTACTTATGTCTCCCAGCAGAGAACAACTTGTTTTTCTGCTCAGAGAGTCTTTGTTCATCTCAGTTTATCCCATGAAAGTGTACCATAGAATTAGCAGGGCAATGCTTTAATTAGCCAGTGTTTCTAATGGAGAGTTAATCCTTATATTTTCCAGCTTAATTACAGAAGGGTGACATTTAATGTTACACTTGATGCTTCTATGAAAACCAGCAAACACAAAATTTATATTTCCCATTGTCTTGGCAGGAGAGTGCCGTCATAACTATTTTGAATGAAAACTCAAGAGTCTTCTAAGTTAGAACAAAATTGACACATCTAAATTTTTATTTATGCAGTTTATGCAATTATGCAATAGGGTTAGGGTCTAATTTATGCAACTGTTGGTATTCCACAACTGAAGAACTCAAATAGGAGATTTTTCTGCAGGGCAAAAGTTGCATTTCATATGATATACCTCAAGCCATAGATAGACATGAACATAGCTTTCTGGGCAAGCTCCAGCATCTGATTATAGTTATTACTTTTTTTTTAAATTTTGCAGAAACCTCAAAGCTTTAAGTTTTTAATACCAAATCAAAGCTTAATAAGTGATAAAAATGGAATTTCAAGGTGATCAAAAGGAGAAAACTGGATTTTTTCCAAAGGCACACAGCCCACATATACCATTATTGGGATTGTCTGATGAGCAGATGCCTCCTCAGCCCTGCAGAGGAGGGACCATGGGTGAGCAAACATCTATTGCAGTGAGACAACCTGTTGTCCTGCTCCATCCACACCAAGATCTGCTCAGGAATTTGCTATATCTCACCTGCAGTTTTTCTATCTTAGACAGGGTTATTTAAATGAGATTACTTTGGGTTTTTTTTATAAACTTAACCCAAAATAAGTCCCACTCCTGAAATCCCTTCATCAATTCAGTGTAACTGGGCAGAGAGCAACTCAAACACTGGCTCTAAAGAAGACTCCCGAAATCGCAGAGAGAGGTCCCTGCTTTGAGGATATCAAGTTGTGAGCTGAACCCCAGCTCAAGCTTTTCAAAGTTCTCTTCTCTGCTATGTCTGATGGTCTCTTTTCTTACCAGCAGTTTTCCATCAAGAGTAGAGGGGAGAGAGACTGTCACTTTGTCTTTTTTTTTTTTTTTTTCATCTTATTTAACTGAAACTCAAGTTAAATGTATTTTTTGCGATTGCAAATGGCCCCTGAATGAATAAAGCACAGCACAAATTTGCACTGGCGATAAGCCCAATGAAGCCCCTAAGGGCACCAGGCAGCTAAAGCCTGGCAGACACAACCACTTTGCTCCAGCTCCCAAGCCATGTGCCACTTGGTGGAGGGGGCTCAGATGGCAAAGCTGGTTAGATTACGTTGCCCAGACACTTCAATATACAGGAAATAAATGGATTTTTATGCTGCCAGTGATAAAAAAAAAAAAGTGTGCAGTCACAGCAGAGTTGGAAACCCAGCAGATGGGAGAGCCCTTGGAGGAAGGTTCCAAGTATCAGCTGCTTTTTATCGCTGGCAAAGAAGCTTTTGGAGCAAAAAGCTGCCCGTGATGTGAACACAACTCCTGCCAGCTGCAGTGGAGGACAGATGTTTGCAGCAGCAGAGTTCAGATGATGATAATCTCTTCCAGCAACAGATTCAGTCTTTATAAAACCTTTTTCAATTCTCCAGTTTCAATGTGCACCAGTGTGGATTTGCATAATCTGCTTCTACCCCCAGCTAAAGATGCAGATTAACTCATTCGTCCAAAATTCATTTTTTGCTCAGCTTATTCTCCCCTTTCTGAAGCAGACCTGTCAGAGCAGCAGCCCGTGTCCTACCTCTGACAGAACCTGCCATCAGAAAACAGCCCCTCTATCACATGTGCTTACACCTCCAGAGCTAATCTTATTTTGGGAATACTTTGAAGCAACGATTACATTGTTTTCCCTCCACTCCAACATAAATATTTGTTTGTTTCAGGAGCTTTCAGAGATTTTACTGGCTAATATCATACTGACTACGTTTGGTCTCTGGTTGTTTCTTGTCCAGCAACAGGGTAGCCAGAGTTAACACTTGTCCTCATTCAGTATTAAAAATAGGCAAAAAGATAGTTTTCAAGCCTGCCTGAAACAGAAGCCAGGTTTGCTGGTTTACCAGTGTGCCTGCTTCTACTGCAACTTTAACAGCTCTCTACAGCTGCTCAGCTGGGCTGGAAAGGTGTTTTTCCATTGGAGGAAAATGGAAAAATCATGTCACAGAATCACAGAATGTTAGGGATTGGAAGGGACCTCAAAAGATCATCCAGTCCAATTCCCCTACCGGAGCAGGAACACCTAGATGAGGTTACACAGGAAGGCGTCCAGGCGGGTTTTGAATGTCTCCAGTGAAGGAGACTCCACAACCTCTCTGGGCAGCCTGTTCCAGTGCTCTGTCACCCTCACTGAGAAGAAGTTTCTTCTCAAATTTAAGTGGAACCTCCTGTGTTCCAGCTTGTGTCCATTACCCCTTGTCTTATCATTGTTTGTCACCATGTCGGTTAAAGGAGGCATCAAATGCAAACCAAACCTTATATGGGGAGAGATGAGGCCAACTGAAGGAAGGAATTGTGCAAGAGAAGCATTGATCCAGTACCATCTCAGGGCTCAGGCACACAGAGGCAGGGAAAGCCTTCAATCCCAATAGCATATTGAACCTAACCAAACCTTCCTGGAGAAACCCACTAGACATACAGCTGCAACAGTCAATGGCCACCTCTACGCCCCCCTCCACTGCATCCCCTCCTTCCAGAGGTTCACAGCCCCTTCCCAGGCATCGTGCTTACCATTAGCCAGATGGGAAAAGGCACCTTGCGAAGGACATGGGAGCTGTCAGAGGTGACCGACTGGACACCAGCGCACCACAGAATGGAGTAAAGCCAGGGCTCATTCACAGTGTAGAGATTCACACTCAGGTTCGCCATGGCGTAGTCCCTGTCAGGAGAGAGACAGGAGGAGATGTGAGTCCCCCAGCAAACATCAGACCCTCATCTCCAGAAGGAGACCTCTTGCCATCAGCCACTGCTGTAATCACAGCTAGATTTATTGAGTTTTAATTGTACTAAATAGTTTTTTCCAACATGGCACAGTCACTTCATAAGCAACACAAGAACATTGCAATCAAATGGTTTGAACTTGAAAGTTTTCTTCATCTCTTGCATCCTGTCTGACCACAGAGCATCTCAGATACTTTCTCACGAATGATAGACTCAGCTTGTTTTTGTAACAACCGCCTCATCATGTTGATGTAAAATTAACATCTGGCTCAGATGCCTGTAACACTTCGTAGGCAATTTACTTAATTAAAACCTGACAGACTGCATTTCCAACATCCATGTCCTTCTTTTGGGGACAGTCGCAGAGTTATAGCTTCCCGTCTCCTGAGGTTATTTTCCAAAAGCTAAAACTACAAGCTGGGGTACAAGAGCTGTCAGCAGCAAACCGGTCACTGACAGTGGACTCCTTGTACCCATATGATTTGCATAAATTACTCTGTTTCCTTATCTACGAAGCAGAAGCAGCACTAATCTACAGCACAGAGATTAATTCTTGCATTTTAATAACTGCAAAGCACTTAGAGGTGGAAGGCCACTGTACAAGATGTGGACAACTCAAAGTTCACAACATGATCAAACTGCTCCAAAGGCTAAGGGATTCTCAAGGGCAGAGGTGGTTACAATTATTGTGACATCCGGATGGTGAATTTGGGGGGGGATTGAGAGAATCATGTTAAACCAGGGCTGGCTGAGCCTGCTCTGGATCATACTGCAGGACTGCAGCAATGTTTGACCTGGCACCACAAGGCCTTAAGGGTTCAAGCAACATTCAGGTGACAGGTCTGATTTTGGAGACAACTGAGGTGGGATTGATGAGCAATTGGGGCTGATGAGCTGGGATAGATAAGAGATTTGGCATATGGTCCTCTCCATGAGATAGAGCAAATAGGTAGGGGAAAACCAGGCAGGAATTATCCTGCAGGTGAAGCCCAGGCTTGGTTATAAGGGTAAGCAACTAGACCAATTGCTGGCAGCCACATAAGGCACCATTGGACGATGCTAAATTGGACCAAGTTGTCAAATAGCTGCAGGCTCAGCTCTTCCCTACTCCCAGCCCAAATATATGGCAAGACAAATCCCTTGAACATACTTTTCTTCTGTAAACCTGTTTCATTTCTTTTTGGGGGGGAGGGGGGGTGGAAATCAAACTCTAAAATCTAGAAAAACTCTAATAGAGACAATCTGCCCTTTCTGAGAAGGGGACAAAGCTGGGAGCTAACACACTGTTCAAGCAGGAGAGGAAATCCATGCTATGGCAATCTCATTAAAGAGGAGTCTGACCATTCTAAATAGCTGACAAAGGACAGTAATGAAACAGGTGAATTCTCTGCAAAGAGAAATTTCTGCAAGCATACCCAGACTTCAGGCTAATCAAAATTCTGCGGTAGCACCTCTGAAGCAGATGAACAGAAGCAAAGGGCAGCAGCTGAAACAGCACTTGGAGGTACTCAGTGTGAAAAGCCTTCATTTTTTTTTCCAGAGCTTACAGTGTAATCAGAATCAGACAATTCATATATTTGTATTTCAAAAAGGATAACTGTATACTGAATTAGCATGTAGAATTATCAGTCACCTGTCTGCTCCAGAGAACAGCCTGCATTCTGGGTGATGGGTAGGGACAAGATTGCACATCGCAAAGTTTCAGAGCAAGATCATCTGAAAAGACCTCTGTGCAGATAAGACAGCCTGTGACGATCAGAAAAGATGCTGCTGTGCCAGGGATGCACACAGAGCATGAGGTTTGCAAGGATGCACAGAGCTGTGGACCGTGCACACAGGCTATCACACAGCGACCAAATGGAGGACCATACCTGACATCCTCGTTCGTGACCTTGGTGTAACGCAGGTTGAGCTTCACGATGCCCTTCTCTCTCAGGCGCTCTGCGTCCAGCTTCAGGCCTGAAGTTTGCTGGAAACCCGGTGCAATATGTTTGACCAGCTGCCTCTCAGTGTCTGGCAGCCACATCACCTGAAGAGAGGGAGACAGAGAATGGGCTATGGCAAAGAGGTTTCACAAAGCTGATAATGTGAGGCAGTTTACACCAAGCCAGAAGCAAAAAATCACACAAGAGACTGCCTCATTTGTCATACAAATTATCTAGGAGATACAGCCTCCCACATCTCTATTCAAATGCATTTCAGGATTGCCCACAAGCCCAGAGGGCTGTAACACACAAAATCTTACCAGCCAAAAGGGCCGAGACACAAAGGGATCAGGCCAAGGGCTCAAGAGAAGAGACATGGTGTATCCTTGAAAACCTCTCCTTCCTGCTCACTTGAGGGCACAGAGAACTTAAGGACACGAGGCTGAATTGACAGTGCAGACATACAAGAGAAGTCTCCTGTGATCCCATAGCTAAGACTGGTTTTATTCACTCTCTTATCAGGGCTATCTCTACTCCAGCCCAGCATGAGGTTTTCCCTAAGTTCATACCGTGCTTTGAAAGCATGTCAAATTAACATTCTTAGCTGCCAGATGTAAAGTGGATGCAGGAATCAAACTGGGCAGTTTTATGGCTTGTGTCATGCAGAGGCTGGGCCCAACCAGATGATCTCAGCAGTGCCACTGGCATGTTTAGTAACTCAATGGCACTCATCTACCAAAGTATCAGAGCAGCACAGATGCAGCCATATGCATTTTCCATATGGAACCATACAACCTAGGTGAGAAATATCACTTCGCAACCCCACATCTATGTTTTGACTCTTTTTCCTGCTCTCCACCCCAGTATCCAAGAAGATGGCATGGTCCTCCTTCAGATCTAGCCAAGCCAGCAGAGGCTTGTGGATAACGCTGTCACTGCAGGCACACAGTTAGAAATTTGGTGGCAGTGTCAGTCATTAGGAAGAGAGCTGGAAGTTAAAAATAGCTCCACTCCTTCCTGGACCCATCACTGCACAAGTCACTGCTGAAGTTGTTTGTGCATGCAGAGGCACCCAGCTGGTACAGATGAAGTATCCGAGCTGTGCGTGATGTAGTCATTCCACTGCCCAGCCTCACTATGGTACTTTCAACCAGCCTGTATTCAAGGGAGAGCACAGGATGAGTGAAAGGACTTGATTTCCTTCTCAAGACAGGTAATGAAGAGAGAGTTTCCAAGGGAAATCCAGAGTCTCCAAGTCTGGATGCCCTTCTGACACATGGGAAGTAGTGCTCTTCCTCCAGAAGAGATGGTTGCATCGGAGGAAGCTCCTGATGGGCTAGGTGAAGACCCAGACCTCGTGGTCAGAGCAGTCACAGCTAACAAGGCTGGTTGGACTCTGACTGAGACAGCACATAATCACTTTCCTCCATCTAGCAGCTGTACAACCATGACTACAGTCCAGGATGCTATCAGCATGACTTCTTGGCATGAAACGTCATTTCAAATCAAGTGTTCTAATGGATCAAATGAGATACTTAAGGATTCAGGAAATCCATAAAGAGGGCAATTTTGGAAACGTCATAAACCCCACAGAACTCACAGCCTGTTGCCGAATTCTTGATGCCAGGATGGTTTCCAGGGTGATGTTGATGTAAGTGCTGTAGTAGGGATGAGCTGATGGCAGGTCCTGGAAGTTCAGGATGAGAGATGTGTTGTCCTTGATCACCTCTAACATATCTGCAAGCTTGCAGACTGACTGGTTGGCAGCTTCCAAGTAGTCAGACCTTGAGAGAGATCCAGCTGTCCAGAAAGGGTCATTCTGAAAGCAAAGCACATCCCAGCATTAGTGTCACAAAGCCCAGACTCCTCCAATACAGGTGAAGACACTTTTATGCCTCACCTTGGCAGCAGTGGAAAATGCTGACAGCTGCACCTGATGACTACCTTGCAGCTTGCTGAAGCTCTGTGCTTCAGTTTCCCTATCCAGGGGGACATCACAGATCCTTACTGAAAGCAAGGTATACTAGGCAAGCCATCTCATTTCCAGGAGAAGATCAGAGCTAGAGGGCAGTAATATAATTTTCCAAGGTAATAAACTAAAACTGTACTTTCACACACTATATACCTGATCACCAAGGATTCAAAAATAAAAAGTATCAGCTATTATATAACTAAGAGCGATTGCAGAGGAGCTATGGACTGTTGGAAGAGATGGGTTCCTGCCTTAAGGACATTTGGGAATGACTGCTTCAAAGTACATCCCAAAAAGCAGCCTTCTGGATGCTGTCTTAGCCTTTCTTATCTGGCAAGCAGCAGTTCCCCTACATTCCCACTCCCACATCTGCAGGTCAAGGTTCTGTGCAGCAGCACATAATACATAGACATCCCCACCACACCAGCTCAGGTCAGAACAGCAATGAAGCTATGATGGTTTCAGGCTTCTACCAAGTGAGCAATCAGAGAGCTTCAAGCAGGCATGTGAAAGGGGTACCTGAGCTCACATCATTGCAGCAATGCCTCAGCAAGCCTGAGGGCTGCAGCTGAGTGCACTCAGTGCTGAGCGTGCCTGAGTGCTGCAGCTCTCCTTCCAGACCACAGCTAAGGCTCTCCAAGAAGGTCATAGCTACAGGCTGGAGAGCAGCCTGGCAAAGAGAAATCCCACCTGCAACCTGACTATATGTCAAAGGATGGGTCAAGCCCATCCCACAGCAATTCCTTCCACCCTGGACTTTGAAGTCTGAATTTCTTGCATTTCCTTTGTAAAGACAATTGTCCCCAAAAGTAAATAAAATAAAATGCAACAGCATAAAATATGCTGCCTTTTCTGTTCTCTTTATAACCACGTTTGCCCTCCTAGAGATCTTGAAGTTCTTTGTGGTGTCAACCAGGCATTAAGACCCCTTCATCCAGGCGGTGCTCTGCTAAACTTAGACTTGGTCTAAAAGATACACTAAGTTTAGCAGAGGACAGAACTAAATGTGGTTCCTAGATTCTTGGTCTAGCTGTACTTCAGACCACTATACCAAGCAGATGGATCTACACCTCTCAACCTCAAAAGGTTTAGGCATGAGGTTCTGAGCCCATGGCTCCAGAACATCCTCTCGATGGCCATACACACCTGTAGGAACCACTCTCCAGCATTAAGCTTTTCCAGGTCAGTCCAGTTGAACATGGAGGAGTGCTCGTAGGCCCGCTCTGGGAACACTTCTTCCACATTGGTTGTTCTCCTGAGTGTCTTGTCATGCATCAGAAATGGAACTCCATCATAGCTGCAGAGACAGTCAGAAGCCCCATTACAGGTGGAGATGCACAACCACATACACAGTACTAGCAAAATGTCCTGTTCTCACTCCAGTCTCCCTCATGGCCTCACATCAAAGTCATTGTGAAGATATCAACCAGCTTAACACACCCCCTACATCCTCAAGACCAGTTGAAATGAGATGCACTCTGAGGAAGAGGTCTCTTAGATACCTGCTAGATGTTTGCAGTTATTGAAATGCTGACATAATAAACCTTATCCATCCCCCTCTCCCTCCTCCCAATTATCCTCTCCAAATTTCTAAAGCGTCAAACTCAGGTAGCTTGGACAAGAACACCCATCCTGAATGCTCATGCTAACACCAAAGCCTTCTGTAGTGTCTGTAGCTCCCAATAATGTCAGAGATTGTCCATACTCTGTATGCACAGACACACACAGACTATTCTCAAATTGTTAATAGTAGATGATGAGTAAGATTTTCAAAGGTTTGCAGACTATACAGAAACTTAATGTTCATGGACTTTCAGCAAAATGCAAGGGCACTAAGCTATAAAAATTGCTCTGAAATTGCCTTTTCGAATTGAAAACTGGTTTCAGGGAACAGTCACGCTCACATGAGTTGTTAATTTTGTGCATCTTAAAGAAAACCCACCTCTCAGATGGAATTAAATAGCCAAATGCATGCCATGTTTTTAAGCCACCTAGATATTACAGAACAATGGTTCTGGGAAACCCAAAAGGCTTTTTAAACTTTCTTCTAGCCCAATTTTCTGTGACTGGATCAGCAGTCATACCACACAGGGCAGTGACTGTTTCTACCAAGGGCAGGGGAACAGTTGACCACACTCAGCTATCAAGATAAACCCAGCACAGCCAGCCTGATTATAATGACATTTTCCAAATCAAAAAACCCACCTTCATAATAGGAGACTCAAAAAGTCTGGACAGGAGACAGGGTTAAAATACAAACCCCATTTGAATTAGGAGACAACCCAAAGCATTCACCCTCAGAGGCAGCGGGAGAACAAAAGCCAATTTTAGATGATGGAGCAAACGCTGCCTCAGCTTTACCATTGCCTGCAGAAGTCCCTTATCAAAGGTCACTGGCACCTTTATTTGTTATTTCTAGCGTGCACTGTGCCAACTACTTCCCAACCCAAACCAACATGCTGACACAGCAGCACCATGCTCAGCAGCACACCAGACTGCTGCAATCAGAAGGGTTTTTAATAAATACAAATTAAAAAAAACCAAACGCTATACGATTGCAGAATTAAGAGCATGGAGTATTTAAGGGAGATAGGAGCAGAGCATCATCAGATACTGCTAAGTCTTAACCACAATGCAGAAATCCTATGGGGCACTTAACATTTACTCCCTCTCGTGTAATTCCTTCCCTTACGGAGTCACTCAGCACTACCCAAGGCTAACCACAATGTATTAGCAGGCGCAGGTTGGAAAAAAGAATTCAGATACAGAAAGCAGAACTTTAGGAGAAGAGGTGTGGGAGAAGATAGAAAATGAGAGAGAAACACATACTGATACTACACTCCTGCCACTTGAAGCAAAGTTGGCTTCATAACCGGGGCCACCCAGTCTGTGGTGTGTATCGGGTAGCAAGCAGGATGTGATAGGTCCGAGTATGTTCAAGCAGCCCACCCATGGATGATATGTGCCCAGAGGAACATGGAGACATCCTAGGAGGGACAACCTGGGGACATCCCAAGTGGTGTGGATGCATCAAGTCACACGCAAAGAACATCTTTCAAAGGTATAAGGACAGCAGTGGTAACACAGACCCTTCTCAAAATTGCTACCAGCTGTATTGATAGCCCACTTTTTGGCCTGAAAGTTACTGGAATCCTCTTTTTACAAAGAAACTTGGGTCTCCTAAAGAGGGCCTCAGACAACTGGGCATTGTTTAAGCTACGAGATTCTTGGAGTGCTCCTCTGGAATGGCTGATGGTTGGCGACAAGGGAAGTTCAGAGTTTTTCCAGCTCTTCTCCTCCCAAAAGACCACCTTTCCTCTTGGCCAGGGAAGCAACCAATTCAGCCACTGCATGAGCCAAGTGCTTATTTGCAAGTGTGGACAGCCAAGTTGTTGTCCCTTCATAACAGTAAATGAACTGATTCTTGAAAGAAGAATTGTATTGCAAACATCCCAATTAATCTTTCAACCTTCTGTGATGGCATTCCACTCCCTAGGAGGGAAGAAATTCCTTTAGTTTTTGTATCATTTGCTTTCATGTAATTATACAAAATAATAATTAAAAAAGCACCCTAATGGTTAAACTTCAGGAGCCCATCTTCCACCAGGCAAAAATATCTTTTTATCAACACCAACCTCCAAAGCAGACAGGGAAAATGAAAATTTCAGCTTTGAGTCTTATTTGTATTTATAACTGAAACTGAGACAGACTGAGGGATCACCAAGATAAGGCATTACTGTTCCTTTCATGATAGTTCTGCCTTCTTGCACATCTACATAATACATGCAAAAGCACTATTCAAAAAAGGAATAAGAATATTAAAGAATTATCAAGCTCCTGAAACAAAGCATGGCTCTTGAAATAACCCTCTCTAAATTGGCCTTGTCAATACAGCTCCACATCTGCCTGCAAGGAATGACTTTTTGACAGTCAACAGTATCATTAGTTCCTTCTTCACCCAGCATTAGTGACATGCAAGGCAGGGAAGAAATTGCTTACTCCTGGGCTGCTAAACTCTAGTGACAGTTTTCCAAGGCTGGTAAAAACCCTTCTGAAGACTTGCAGTGCAATCAAGTCAGTTTGAGATCTCTGCTCTCTCTGCACCAGAAGCATCCCAGCAAAAGTAATATTTAAGCTGTTCTGTCTCTTCCCAAAACCTGCTGACTTCAAGTCAGGCTAGAAACCAGCTACTGCGCTTCACTGCAATAAAGGAATCTCTACAATAAACTACAGTCTTTCTGCAAAGGAATATTCATTTCATGACAGAGTTATCCAGGTTCCCCCACCTGGACAACTTCACATTTAATCATCATCAAGGAAAAAATTCTTCACTCTGCGGGTGGTGAGACACTGGCACAGGTTGCCCAGGGAAGCTGTGGATGCCCCCTCCCTGGCAGTGTTCAAGGCCAGGTTGGATGGGGCTTTGAGCAGCCTGGGCTGGTGGGAGGTGTCCCTGCCCATGGCAGGGGTTGGACTGGATGAGCTTTGAGGTCGCTTTCAACCCAAAACACTCTGTTATTCTATGTTCATCTCAGTGCAACAGTCAGTAGCACCTGTGCATTACAAATGCAGACAGCTAGGAGTTATTGATGTGTTCACCATGAGAGTCCTTTTCAATGGGAAAAAACCAGTAACGACCAGACACACAAAAGATAGAAAAGAACCACCAGAACGGTTTGGGCCATCCACAGAGAGTCTCAGACCTACCAGCACACTGGCTTACCTCAGTATAACGTCAGCTTGGACTCCATACATCTTCTGCTCCACTGCCTTCTGGAAGGACATCAGAGTGTTTTCTGGTGCCAGCTATGGGAAAAAAAAGAGCAATGAGAGATTAGTAGTAAGCAGAAATGTTTAGAAAGCAGTGTCAGCAAGGATGCTGGTTAGAGATATTAGGAAGCCAAAGAAATCTTGTTTTGCAGATTACACACTGGCCAGTCACACTGCTGTAACCAGTGTCCATCAGGTAGAATTGCATCTCACTGAAGCCGGAAAATAGCCAATGCATTTGACACCACCAAAGGTTCTTTTACACACAGGATAGAGTTCAACACAGAGTTATGGTGACCTGCAATACCAGAAACGTGACTAACTCAAGGTCTGATGCAAAAATTAGTGTATGAGCCATTTGCTTACCATTGCATTCCTCCAAATAGTGGATTGCTGAAGATCGCCAGAAAGCAATTGTTAATGTGATGCCAATTTTATATCCACAAGTTATATATAGAGATACCTGCACCACCTTAACAGTTCTTCATTCACATAATTTTCCAAGCAAACAGTTATTACAATGCCATTAGAGAAAGAAGAAAGCCCATAAAAGAGAGTATTATCTCTACCAGGGAGAAAATTAGACCACCGGTTCTGTAGCACACATTTTATTTCCACATCTACTCATTCAGTAACATCATCCATTACTCAGCCTAAAAATCAGTTTATTTTCTCTATAGCAAATGCTCGAGTTAGTTCTAAAAACAATTTTTTTTTAAATAGCCTTAAGCTGGCAAGTTTTCCACACTTGAGCGCATAAAAATAAAGCTATTTTAATTATTTTTTTCCAATTTTGCTTTTAGGTTTAGAGCACCTGTAAAATCTTGTTTTTCCATTCATCTCTGCCACCACCAGGATCAGTAAGCTTCCATCAAGACACAATGAGCATTCACAACCCATGACTTTCAGGAATTACTCAAGGCTTAGAAAGAGGGATAACTGAAAACAAAGACCTAAATGCACCACACAAGCAACAATAAATACAAAAAACTGCTTGAGAGTTTAAAGTGCCTCTGAGAATGTTTTCTTATTAGCTTATCACCTTACATGCTCAGGTCAGCAAACCTTTGGGGTAAAATAATCAGACCAAATGTCAACAACGCAACCGTCACACAGCTCCCATATCGCTCTATTGAATTCCTCTGGCTCACGCCATGCATCAATGCTAGCTCATTTTTCTGTTTGTTCAAAGGCAACACAGAGGCGCGTTATTTTCCTAAAAAAAGCTTCCAATCAAAGCCTGACTTGTCTAGGAGAAGACAGAGGCAACGCCCCCATCACACCCTCTTGCACAGCCCAACGCCGGGTCATGCAAGGTCGAGCTGAAAAAACTTTTTGCAATATATTCACAATGCCCAGATCTGTCAGCAGGGAGCAGCAGCCACATAAAGATCCCACCCAGGCAGACCTGCTCCATCTCCTTGGGTTGCTTGCAGCATCTTGGGTTTCCCCGCCTCAAGTAGCTCAGGTTTCCTCAGGATAACACTGCAAGGTGATCCTCTCTGTACAGAGTAATGCTCAATATTTGCTTTTGTAGACTGCAGTAATGACAAGGAAATAAAATAGGTAGCCTTCAAACTGGAGACAGCTGAGCTAGAGAAACTGAAGGGCAACGCAAGACCACCAGCCTAAGTCAGGAAGGGTTGCTGGGTAGATGCAATGCAAGTCCCAGCTCACGATGTGACACCACATCAAGCAGCAATTGAACCCATGCCCCTATAAGCAGTCTCACCAGGGATGTGGACATACAAGGAATAGAAAAAAAAAAAGCAAATTATGTTAAGTGGTAAATCACCTCTCAGGTTAAGAGAGAATTGAAAGAGCAGGTTGGACTACCACCACTAAGCAATCAGTGTAAAACCCAACAAAAAAGGTAGGACAACACTGCTGTTACCCACTTACACAAAGAAGAGCTCATATTGCATGAATCAGGGCTAATGAAGGGAAACAAGCATGACTGTAACAGTATTCCACCTCTGTAGAGGTGGACCAATGTGACCAAGGTCTTCTCACATCTTACCTGTATACCAAACTCTGGCACAGCAGAGTCCTGACCTGGAGAGGACACAGGCTCATGCTGTTTGATAATAAGAAAAAAAACATTTCTTGCTTCTTTTCAGTGTATTGTGGTTTCTCAGGGCCAGGGTCAAGCCTCACTTGGACACCAGCTCTCCTGAGATGCAGTAGGTTTGAGATGCAGAGGAAATCTTAACTTTAGGTTAAGGAGCAGGAGTCCCAGCCTCCACTGCTGGAGATGCTCAAAGGAAACATGGAGCCAAACATGAGATCTGAGGTGGCAAGAGCCTTCATCAGCTGGACTGGGGAAAAGCAAGTTTAAACAGAGCAGAGACTGCACGCAGAGATGATAAATGAAAGCCAAATAGGAAAACAGCCTTTTGAGGATGGAATTTCTGTTTGCCAGACTGGACAACTTTGGCCATGTACAGCTAGTAATGATGTTCATGCATCTTAGGGGCAATGCTAAAATACAGGTTGCAGTGAGTCAAAAACTGAGATTTTCTTTGCGTTTTAAAACCCAGCTCACTGTGAATGTACCATCTTCAGCTCTCAGACACCACTGAGCTTGTCTCTCCATGGAGTTAATCTCAGCTCTAGGAGTGGAATAGCCCACCCCTGCTTTATCTATAGCTGCTACAGAACCTGCAGATCATGCTTCACCCTTCAAGAAGGGCAAAACTTAACTGACTTCTGCCAGGGCTGTGTGTAGCTGCTCAGATAAAAAGCACATCCATTCCTTTCCCAGGAACTTGATCCCAAACACAAGTTAAATAAATGTACAAAACTCTGGCCAGATCTGTGTTGAAAAACTGCAGCTGTGCAGAGGAAGCAGCATTATAAAACTGTTTTAAGGACAGGCTATCACTTAAGGTCCGACAATCCAAATACACACATAGGAACTATAATGTCATCCTCATCACACCACCTCTAGAAGAGAAGAGCATCCTCTTGAAGAGCATCACAGATGGATGAACATCTCTGGCTACTCTGAATCAGCGAACAGCATGGACGTCAGCAGAAGCACTCTCTGTAACATCATGCCCCATGATTACGTGTGCTGGGTAGTCTCAATAACACCACAACGCTATTACTTGACAGCCCAGCTCCCTGCATGTCAGAGGCTTTCGAAAAGTAGATTATAAGCCTTCCAGGCAAAAACATCATCTTATGGTTAGCATGTAAGGTAAGCTCCTAACCTGGCCAGAGCCAGTCACCCTGATATAAATAACTGCATCTCCAAATAAGTCCATCATCAATGCACAAAGCTGCCCTCCTCAGTTTCTAAACACCTCAGTCGATCCTAGCCTTGAGGGAACTGAGCAATGACATTACCCAATAAAGGTCAACCAGAAATCCTGGAAAGCAGATTTAACCCTGTCCCCTAAAATCAGATGCTGCCTATTCCTGGAGGTACCCCTGGCACCACTGTGGAGGCAGGATTAATCTGCATCAGGAGTCCACATCCCTTACAATGCGACGTTTTCATGAGAAGGGAGAATCCAAGTAACAGATATTTCCATTGTCCAAGCCTGTCTCTGTCTCCCTCCAAGAGAGTGAGCTGAAGACTAAATTCAACATGTTTTGAGCAGAGATGCAGCCAAGTGGGGCAGTTGCTGGTACAGAAATTACTTGCTGCGTTCAGTGCTAATTTTTTTATTTTTTAAAAAAGGTTTTACAGCAAAACTGCAATAACCAGATAAGTGCATAATCTTTCTGCTTGTATCTCTCTCTGGCTCCTTCCAGCTTCTTTGAAGGGTTTTCCTCCTTGATACAATACATTCAAGCATGTTATGTCTAAAACCCAAATCCAGGTTTGCAGTGGTCCAGTGCAAATGGACACAGTTTCTTAAGAAACCAGTGCTGAAGCAAAGAAAGCCCTGGGGTGCAAAGCAATGATTTCACTTCAAAATCTGTGTCCTATATAAACCATGCCAACATCTACCAAAAGCCACAGACAGGCCTTGTGCAGGGTTTCTAGAAACTGTTCCTTCTATTCATGCTTGGTTTGATAGGCTCATACCTTGCAAACATTCAGGCTACTGTTAATTTCTTCCTGCTACAGAGATACAGCAAGTAATTTCTAGAAAATTACCCACAGATGAACTAATTTTGACTATTTTTTGTGCTCAGAGATCAATTGCAAGTGCTTCCAAATGGAGTCAAGATCTTTAGATCTTCCTTAATGAAGATTATGAAAGCGTGCTTAGTTAAAGCAGGGTAGCCTTGCTATAGCTTGACATCACTACACTGTATTTTTCTTCTAATTAGCCACCTTGTCAGGCCTTTAAAAAAAAATTAAAAATCACTGCATCATTTGTATGTTGAAGAGGTTAACAAAAGGTTGCACAGAAGAATCAAATTTGTTCCGAAGTGTAACCACAGCCACCGCACACCTCTGGCACTGTGTGTTGAGCTGTACTGAAGGACTTGACCTCTGCTTCATCAGCAAGCTTTAAGAATATTTTTGGAAACCTGAGCATAATTTAATTTTTTTTTTTTTCCCCTCCCTTATCTCTCCTTTCCAGTATCTGTCTCCTTGTGAGCCAATAATTGGACTAAAACCACAAAGCATGATTAGGGTGATACCTGAAAAACTGTATTATCCTTCCTGTAAAAGGATGCACTTTGGAAGTATGAGACTTAGTGTGGGATCTGTCAGTACATTGATATCAGCACTGATGTCCCATCATGCCAGGTCACCATGAGGCAGTCATGATACTGTTTAAAAAAGAAAATAAAGTGTATCTTTAATCCCAAGGGATTCTAGGTATTTGAGAAAGCATCCATATCCAGCACTTCTGGAAACAGCTCAGCTGGACTGAAAGGAAGAGAAGAAACATAAAACAAATAAACAGAAGTATTGCCTTAGACAACAGGATAAACCCATAAGCAAAAAGCCATTATAAATTTAATAACTAGATACAGGAATTGAGACCTCATTATTGTTATACTGCACAAAAAAAAAAATCTGAAGTTTGATTTAATGAAAGACTACCTAACCTTACACATTTATTTCAATGTCCTTCCTCCAGGTCTGATAGAAGATGTTAATTGTGATTATTTGTTACTTTCAATCGGACCAGCAGATAGGTTAACTGGCCATATTTTAATAGGTGAATGTGCATAAGGTATACAGCAAATGAAACACTACTTGATTTCAGCAGCACAAGCAGTAAAAACCAAAGCACTTCAGAGTCCTTAAAAAACAAAGCCAGCCCAAATAGGTGGTGGTAAAGTTTTGGTACCCAAGATAAGACGAAATAACCTTCAAAACCACCAAGAAAACAAAAGCCTCTAAACAACAGAAATAAATCACCAGTTATTCTTCATTAGCTGAAAGGTCCTCAATAAGCCACAATCCCAACCAGAAGCCTTCTTACTATTGATAGTTGGCACTACTAGATGACAAAACAGCATCTCTGTGAGAACACCAATATATTGGAGGCTTCATCTCCAGGTATCAAAAAAAACCAAAAACACAACACAAAGAAACCCTCCAAAACCACAACACACTCTCCTCCACACATGCAATAACCCAACAAGCAAATCCTAAGTGCAACTAAATGCTGGCTGCCCACCAAGGGACTTCGTCCCAGTAATGGGTACTTTTCCATTCTGGAGTTGTGCAAAACCAATGAATCAGTGGCGCCAAAAAACGCTTTGCCAGCACAGTGCTTGCGCTCAGCAAGAAGGACATTGAGTGCCATGCAGGACGGAGCTCAACAGCATGAGCACCACATGCTCTGTGGCACGCAGACAGCGGTTTCAGCACAGCCTCTCTGTGTTGTTGAGACATGTCGAAAAACAGCTGTAAGGGTGGTTTGCCAACAGCATTTATTTCAATGCTATTTGTAGCCTCCAGCTCTGAAATCAAGAGCTGTTCTTGCCTCTGACATGCTTGGATGGTTTCCACAGGCTTATCCTGACTTTTTTTTTCTTTTTATACCAACCAGTAACTTTTTGGTCCCAGTAATGGGTGGCGAGTTTCTAGGCTTCATGAAGTTTCTTAGAAAGACAAATATAGCTCTTGCTCAGATAAGCCCTTGCTATTATTAAGTCCTGTGGGTGATTTATCTACAATTTGAGGTCAAGGATCATCATGAAAAGCCTATTTTATTTTTTTAATAATGAATGTATATTGAGGAGTAACAGCCTAAAAACAAGTAGGATTCAATATTACGGACAGAACCTTCTTCAGATCTCAAACTCAAAGACAACTTGCCTCAACCTGAAGCACCATGTGAGGGAAGACATTTGGGAAAATACTTTAAAGGTGTGAATGGCAGTAGAATTTGGTGTACTACTGGATTCCTCACTTCCATCTCAGATTTGGAGTGTCAGACAATTTTTCTACCCATCAGGACAAGACCCTTTCAAACCAGCAGACATCAAGTGAAGGCTGGAGCCCTGAACTCCCAGTACATTGCTGCCACAGCCCTGATGCTCTCCTGATGGGAGTCCAGAGGACAGAAACAGATCTGGAGGCTGAATAATTTATTTTAAAAGAGCTTTTGAAGAGAAACCAATTGATTAACTAAATGCCTGCCAAGAGAAAGGTTTTCAGGTAGCACCCTGATGGGAATGGACACTTAGTATAGCAGTAAGTGGGCATGACTGGATGACATTTAGGTGAGGGAGGGTAGAAGGAGTCATGCAAAAGAGCCTTTCCAGCAGTGAATTAAAACACATGGGGGACAGGATGACATTAAAGGGACATTGTTTGGAGGAGCACTACCATACATACAAATAGTCACAGTGTGGAGAACCAGTAGCTCTCCTGTACTGCAAAACTCACTCGTCATCTAGGTACAGATGCCAGGATGGCTGCTGATTTTCTCTTGATACTTCAAATGCAAGAAATTTTTCCCTCCTCCAGTGTTTCAAGACAAGTTATGTGAGCCATACAGCCCCTGTTCCTCACTTTTTTCCTCCACAGAACAAGAGCAGTTGAGTCATGCTCACAGAGATGCTATAAATGCTGCTTTTAAAAATCCTAAAGCGACAAGAGATGCAAGGTGCATGCATGCATGGAGGACTCTGGAGCACAAAGGAGGATTGCTGTCCCTGTATGAGGAGCAGGCTGCATGCACTGATGGATCCATGTGCCAAGTACTGCATCCCTCAGGAAGTGCATACATCTACAGCTTTTTTGGGAAACAATTCATTCCGCCCCTTTTCGCCTCATGTACCATATGACACATCCCCAGCAAATCCTTTATTTCAGGACAAGAGTCTTCAGCCATCCCATAGATCTCCTTCATTGGCTTTTGTCAGAAGACAAATCAGTTATATTTGTGCCTTTCTAGTACAGGAGTGTTGAACATGCAAATGCAATATTATGGACCCAGCCCTGCCAGACCAGCAAAACAATCAGTTACCAGGCTCTGTAAGAGAGTGTGTTTGTCTGCACAGCAAATCACATTTGTCTTGCTTCTGGAGATTTGAAGGCAAATATTGTTTATATCAGCCCCACTCCCACTAGAGCTGGTTTCACCTCAGGTCTCAAAACTCTCAGGCTCCGCAGGCTTTTGATCCTGATATTGCCCAAGGGAAGAAGTCTGTGTCATACAGCCCCATCTCTAGACTCTTCTCTGGGCTATTTCCTCCTCTACAGCTGCACTTGGCCATTTCTCCAAACTAAATCTACATACAGTAGAACTCAGTAGTAAAAGCTTAGCAAGCAGCCCTGTGAAACAAGACCCTATTAGCAAAAATACCTTCTGGTAAGGTTTTAAAATCATAAGTTTACAAGTTGATAGGACCCAGTACAACCTGAGGACTTGAACTGTAGGTAGAGCTCTTCAACCTCAAGGTGGAATTTGACATAGTAAAAAGCTGGGCATGGATGGAAGTACAGAAGGAAGCTTTGACCACCTCTCCCTGGTCCCTCATCTTTCTTATCCCATCTCAGCTTTGCTATTCAAGGCCACAGTTGGACATTCACCATACATAAAGGCAAACCAGTTGGATAAAATCTACTGCCAACACATCATGGGACATACAAACTACTGCTTGGAGGTTGAAACAAGGCTTGCTAGTCTCTGATCTTGTTTCTTGTGGGCTTCAGAGAAAACCATCTGCTGTTAACATCCAGCTCTGCATATTAGGGAGTGGTGAAGGAGGGCATGCACCCTGCTGA